TTAGCTAATTATCATTCTTAGTCTTTGGGAATCCATCTGTAAACGGTTATACCGATATTTCTACCCTTAACTTCTTACTACATGGCTGAGCGAACTTCAACCTCTTGCACATAACTTTCCCATTTGAAACATTTAAAGATGCTTTGGACTAATTAACCATTTTCTGACATAATTTATCCTTTTAATTAACTTATTTATATAATACCCGTTTACATTTCCTTGAGCGCATCCTCATACCGAAATTCTTGAATTTCTCTTTGTGCTTATTTCTTACCTGCTGAAATACTATCATAGAACATATCTGCCATTTTTCGTATATAAGTAGATTTTCGAAACTACGAATAAATCAGTTGTATGAGATGTATTCACCCTATTTTGTTTAAGGTGATGGAATATTGGTAGTAGAATATTCATGCAATTATATTAATAGAGCTAATGTTTTTATTGAATTTCGCATAGCCTTGCTTTCCCAAAATTTGTTCTTATCCAGAGTGTACTGAAATTTCGGCTTCACATAGGTCTTATCAACACTCCCAGTGGGAGTAGAATCGTGACAGTGCAGCATCTGAGCTTGAAACGTTAATCACTCGGCCACATTGTCTCGAGACCCTACTTATATACGAAAAATAAGTAATGTAGTCTATTGTTATAGCATAAATACGTTTGCTTCATCGACAATCCCACTAAAGAATGTGATATGGGGAAAGATCTGGCCTTCCTTGAAATTCACTTTTGCTCTGTGACCCAAGGGAACTCGTGACAATGTGGCCGAGTGGCTAACGTGTCAAACTCACATGCTGCACTGTCACGGTCCGACTTCCGCTGGGGATGTTGATAAGACCGATGTGAGGTCGAAACTGCAGTCCACTCTGGATGAAAACAACTTTCGGGGAAGCAAGGCTATGCGAAATTCAATGGAAACGTCAGCTCAACTCATATCATAGTGGGAAAATTCTTCTACCAATACTTATCTCCTTAAACCAAATATGGTGAATAGATCTCATACAGCTGCCACTGTTTGGAGCTTAAGGAAGTCATCTGAACTAGGAGCTTAAGCAAAGATCTACCTAAATAGGATCTGTATTCAACCTAAGGTGATGAGGGTTGCGATTTGAAATTTCTCACTATTATACGAGTAGGTCTTACTTCTCCACTTTTTTCTACATAACCTTACCTATTGAAAGATATTCTCACCCTTCGTAGACTGTATTCAAGACCTCGCATGGGTCTTATCAGCATTCCCGAGAGAGTATAGTCTCGAAACGTTACCACTATGCCACACTTCCATGAGGGCCTTTAAATCGCAGGACAGATTTGACGTTCAAGGAGGGCTAAGCCCACTACGAACGTTCTCGTCCTCTTTGTGACCTAGGGTAACCTATGGTAGTATGGCTTAGTTGTAAACTGTTGAGACTATGTGCTGCACTACCCGAGTTTAAATCCCTATACAGGTGCTGAAAAGGCTCAGACGAGGTAGAAACTGTAGTTCACTCTGGCTGAGAACACCTTCTGGGAAGTAAGGCTGTCATTCATTAAGACGTGAAGTTTACCCATAGTATTGTGGTAAGAATTTGACTATCAGTTCTTCATCACCTTATGTGACCTAGGGTGAATATATATCTTATTCAGGATATACCTACTTAATACCAATAATAGAATTGTCTTTATGGTCTTAATTATAGGTAGTGAGTTAACACTTAAAATGATATCCATAAGTTGAATATAACCTAAATCTTACCCTTTCTTTGAACCTTTATATTGGTGTCCACATTAGATTAATCTGGAGGCTCGCACCGGCATGGAGCGGACAACACTAGAACGACGCAACCGCAATCTTGAAGCCGAGTTGGAAGATATTAGAAGAAGAATTGATTCTGAGCGCGCAGAGGCTGCAGCAGCTCGCCAAACGCTGGATTCAGAGCTGAAGCACATAAGATTCGTAGAACAGGAGAGTAGTCGTGAACTTGGAGTAGTAAGAACCAAGCTGGAGCAGGCTCAAGAGGAACTCAATTCTCTTCGAGGTGAAGATATATATATATATATATTCAATGTGAAATTTTGGCTTAAAGCAGAGCTATACTTATTTGTGTCAAGAGATATTTTTAATTTTGATACATTAATAGGCAACTTTTTTCTTCCCTTGACACAAATAGATATAGCTCTTCTTTAAGCCAAAAGTTCACACTGTTTAGTGCTTAAGCATTCTTTTTTTTCACAAGTGATATTTATTTCTGTGGTGTAAAATTTTACTTGCCCTTTTGAAATTATTGCATTCCAGGGTGAAATTACTTGACTCATACTTTACATATTTGTCCAGATTCGGAACCGTGGGGTGCAGTCGTTTTATATAAGTTATTTTAAAAATGTAATTTTAATCTTGTTCGTCTTGCATTTTTTTTAAATCGTTTAGTTTTATTTTGCATTATTTTTTTACTCAGCACATATTTCCGAATCATCTGGTTCTATTGAAAAACAAAAAAGTCAATTTACTTCATCATCCCAAGACTCTCCTGATGACTTAGCTACCGAAGAACGCCATAATCGTGAAAATCAACAAA